TCTATCTATCTATCTATCTATCTATCTATCTATCTATCTATCTATCTATCTATCTATATATCTATCCTCTCTCTCTCTCTCTCTCTCTCTCTCTCTCTCTCTCTGCATACCGCAGATTCCATCAATTAAAGAGTGTTGTCTGGCAAGGACTAAAAGGACTGGCTTTACCCCCAGTGGCCCCGGCTCTATGGAACTCCCTTTGGAAATTAGAATAGCCCCAACCCTGTCAGCCTATTGTAAGGCCCTAAACATGTGGCTGTGTTCCTAAGCCTTGGGCACTAAATGTGTTAAGGGTCCGATCTCCTGGCTGTGTTGGTAACTGGCTAAGTATCTTGGCTGCTATGTATATTTATTTTAGATGTTTCTATTGTTTTAATGTCTTTTAGTATTTTTGATTGTAGTATATTTTTTTTGAATTTTGCATAATTGACTGAGATGGGCAACTATAGAAATTGAATGATTGAATGAATGCATGCATGCATGCATACATTCTGCTGATTCTTCTGGAATAAAAAGCAAATTTGCAGTGAAAGTGATGTTATGGAGTGGAAGGTACATTTGCTGTATTTCTAGGAAGGAATACTTATACTAAATTTTAGCAAAGCAGTATGTGTAAAAAACCAGATAGAAAAGGGTTTATATTTTAAAATGAGAAATTATTGTATGTCTAACTGGAGAGAAAGAGAATAGTTGTCTTTGTTTTACAGCTTCAGAATAGATATGAACACTCCTTCCCAGAGTTATGGTGTGTGCTGAGGTGCTGAGGTGCTCAGTGACACATATATAGAGAATTTGTATGATTTAATAATATGAGAGGATGACATAGGCTATATTATATATTACCATCAGGGTAGTGCCTACTATCATTCAGGAAATCTGGGCAGTAGATTCTTGTGAACTCAGTAATCAACTCAAATTCTTATTGGAAAAATAATTTATGTTTCTCCAATAACAAACTGGTATGTTTCAGGTGTATTACCCCCAGTGCAACATCTTTTTCTTTAAAAAAATGGTGATTCTGCAGTCTGCTCTCTACCCTCCTTCTTCTTAGTACTTTTGCATTTGTCTGTTGACTTTTCTGAGTGAAGATGAAAATAGAAACTGGCTAGAACCTGGGCTGGTGGGTTCCTTTACCACTGACCCAATTTAGCTAGGGCCAGAGGTTGAGCAGGTAGGACTTTGTTAGTATTTGGATGGGAGAAGTCCAGGAGATGTCATGGCTGCAGGTTAGACAGAGAAGCTGGAAATATCCCACTCCCCTTGACAAATTTCTGCTCATTATAAATTGGATATTTTATTTGCCTACTATTTCTCTCCTATAAAACATTTTTGATGCTTAGAGCCACAAAGATGTTTTGGACTATAACCTGAATTTCTATCATATGGCATGTCTAACATAATGATTTTAAAAATCCACATTAACCTTAGTTTTATCGTACCATAAATGTCCATGCCATACAAATCTCTGATCATGTCCTTCTAATGCCAAGAGCCTGATCATTAGTTGACAACTAACAAGAAGAAGGAAATGGCAAACTGTTTCTGTACTGAAACTGCATGCTTGTGTCCTTATATATAAGTCATGAAGGCTTAACCTTGATTCAAGGGTATTATTCTACCTTTAAGGGGTACTCAGTAATCATTAGAGTGGGTGGAGGCAACGAGGCTTCTTTGCAATGCCTGGTTAGTTTGGAAAGGGCAATGGGAGAAAGAGCTGTTAGAAGAGGCAGAGCTGAGAAAGCAATTGAAGAACATTATTTGCTTGCCCAAGTAGATAGCAATAGGATAATCTTTCTCTATTCCTCTTCTGCTTGCTCTAGGGCAGTGATAGTGAACCTTTTCGGCACCGAGTGCCAAAAAGTTCACACAGAAATGTCACACGTGCATGCATACGCTCATCAGGGCTGCGTTCCAGAAAAGCCAAACTTCTGGGTTCCGGCCAGCTGGTTGTTGGCACATCCAACTATCAGCTGGCCAGCGCACATGTGCACATTGGTTTTCATAACTGCTGCCTGCACGAAGGACAGCTGATCATCGCATGCCAGAAACCCAGAAGACAAACAGGCAAGGCCGCATGTGCCGGGTGACATGGCTTCACATACCATTTGGGGCAGACGTGCCATAGGTTCGCCACCACAGATCTAGGACAAACTGGCTGCGGAATTCTGGAGTTGAAGTTCACAAGTCTTAAAAAGTTGCCAGATTTAGAGACCTCTGTTCCAAACTGCTCTATTACCAACAGTTGTACTAAGATCTCGAGTCCATCCACCTCCCCACCATCTTCAAACTGCTGCAGGAAACAAAAGGTGGGAGAAGTAGTTAGAATAATGGCAAGGCAAGAGCTTGGAGAAGAACAAAAGAAAAACCATGACACTAACATGGTGAACCTTGTTGGGGTTTTGGATACCTTTTTCTGCGCAGCAGAAGCCCAATGGATCCACACATGTAGATATTTGGGGTCTTTGTATTTGTTCGCTTGTTTATTTGTGCTTTTTATTCTCTTTCTGATACTCTTATTCAAAGGGGGAATACAGCAGGAACAGGGCTATCACCCCAATATTTGTGAGTAGCCGCATTGCATAAAAATGACTTTTTCTGAAAGCTTTTGAGAACAAGGGAGCTTTATTCAATCCTCAGATTGTGGCACAAGAGACTGGTCCTGTTAGCAGTTGTATTTGTCTCTTTTTAAGTCTTCTGTTGCGTTGGTTGCTGTAAGTTGCTCAGAGCCTGTGAGAACTGAGTGGCGGAAAACCCTAAGTAAATAAATCTATTACGATTCCACTTCAGCTTCTCCAAAAGTTGAAGACGTCTGTGAAACAATAGGACGCTGATACAGTAGTTCCACCACAGAAGCTTTTAAAGTAAATCTTTTGGATTTATACTTTCTGTGGTTGTTTTTGTAAAGAATCACTCTGCTGAGTTGGATAAAATAACCCTAGCTTGGGAAGGAGGCTTCTCATTTATTTTCATGATTCTCAGTGAGTATGCCATATGTTGTTTTTCCTTTGCCTTTTCCCTTTGTGGGAGTCAGATTTGTATATTTTTCCTCTCTCCTTTGTTTCTTTCACTCTCACTCTCACTTCCTTAGGTGATGTGGGGATGACTCTCACAATGCCCTTGAGCATAAAGCTGGAAAGATGTATTAAGCTCATTAATTTTGTTATTGATTGTCCATAATTGCTCACAAATAGTTTGACCTATAAGCAGACATTATTCAGCTATATAATCTAGTAGAAACTTAGACTTGCTTCCCCACCCCCTGAACACCTCTGTAAGCAGTATTATATTGATTATGCGTTAATATTATACCAGTACAATATTAACTGATGATTTCTATCTTTCAGCCTATTGCCCAGGATAGGAAATCTCTCACAGTCAGAACTAAGCACAGCAAAGTTGTTAAGCATAAATAAAGGGCTTAACTCTACAATATCTTTACTTGTCAGTACCTTGTCAATTGTTAGTTGTTGTTTTTCTGTAAGGGGGAAATCTACTTTCCTGGACTCAGTCTACTACATTGTTGTAGTTAGGTTTACTTTACAATTTTGGTTTTATGATCAAAGCAGACAGCTTTAATCCAACTTGAAAATAAATCCAGAGGTAAAAATGACAAGGACAAGGTGGCTCAGTGGCTAAGATGCTGAACTTGTCGATCAGAAAGTCAGCAGTTTGGCGGATCGAATCCCTAGCACCGCATAATGGATTGAGCTCCCATTACTTGCCCCAGCTTCTGTGAACCTAGCAGTTCAAAAGCACATAAAAATGCAAGTAGAAAAATAGGAACCACCTTCGGTGGGAAAGTAACAGCATTCTATGTGCCTTCGGCATTTAGTCACACCAGCCACATGACCACGGAGATGTCTTCGGACATAGCTGGCTCTTCGGCTTAGAAACGGAGATGAGCACCACCCTCTAGAGTCAGGAACAACTAGCACATATGTGTGAGGGGAACCTTTACCTTTAGAAAAATGACAAAAAGAAAATGTTCGAGTACAATAATTATGACTCTTTAAAAATGAAAGAAAAGAAAGTGAAAGAAATAAAAAAAACTCAAGCAGTTTAAAGAGAATTAGATTAAAAACTCATACTTTTTTTCTTAAACAAAACAAAAGCACATTTTAAGTAAAACTTTAACTTGCTCCATAGGTAGAACCTATAATTCATTTGTATGTAAAAAAACCTGGAGAGAAATGATTTTGGAAGATCTCAAAACTCTGCTAGTGCATGTGCAATGTAAATTAGCTGGTTTGATTATATTCATGAGAACTAAGCCTATTGCCCAAATAATAACTTACCCAACCTTCCCTTTAACTCTGCAAATTTAATCTTCTTTCCACAATTCCCAGTCTGCTCCTTTGATAAGACCTTAAATAAACTGAAGCTTCAGAGCGTGTTTGCTTGGATTGATAGATGTTCCTGAGGAAAGTGGTTTTTTTTCTCTTCAGGCTGGAGAAATTATTTTTTATCATGTACAATAACAGTAGTGGCAGTTAGGCTGTCCCCATCACCTGAACCTCTGATCTTGATGATAAGAAGTGGTTCTGGATGGAGGGTAGGGAGATAAACAGGTGAGAGGCAAGGGAACTCCTGACAGATTAAGTTTTGGTAGTTGCTCCTAGTATGTTTCTTTTGAAAGAAAAAAAAAGGGGGGGGGAGGAAACAGACAGAGCCGAGGTGGCGCAGTGGTTGGAGTGCAGTACTGCAGGCTACTTTAGCTGACTGCTTGTTCGGCAGTTCGGCGGTTCAAATCTCACCGGCTCAGGGTTGACTCAGCCTTCCATCCTTCCGAGGTGGGTAAAATGAGGACTCGGGTTGTTGGGGGCAATATGCTGACTCTGTAAACCCCTTAGAGAGGGCTGAAAGCCCTATGAAGCGGTATATAAGTCTAACTGCTATTGCTATTGCTATAGCTGTATTGAATGAAAGAAACTTTGGAAGTGTTTTAAATGGGAATAGAGTTGAATATTTGTTTGTTTATTTGTTTCCTACCTTTATTATTTTTTTATAAATCACTCAAAGCAGCAAAAGTATCCAACAATCTTGAATGTGATGGCACCGTGGTTAGAATGCAGTATTGCACTACTGCCAGGAGTTCGATCTTGAGCAGCTCAAGATTGACTCAGTCTTCCATCCTTCTGAGGTCAGTAAAATGACTCAGATTGTTGAGGCCAATATAATGACTCTGTAAACCACTTAGAGAGGGCTGTAAAAGCACTATGAAGCGGTGTATAAGTCTATGCTATTCCTATTGCCATCTTCCTCCTCCCATTTTCCCCACAATAGCAACCCTGTGAGGTGAGTTGGGCTGAGAGAGAGTTACCCACTCAATGTATGCTGGTTAGGATACTTACTCAATATTAACATCAATTCAGTTTAAAAATAAGTTGTGAGCCTCTCCTTTTAGAAATGCACAATCTGATTTAGACTACTTACTCAAAAGAAACCCCATTGGGTTCAATGATTATTCCCAAGCATACTAGCGTAGGTTTGTAGACTAAGCCATGGGAAATGAGGGGAGAATACAGAAGAGAGATATCTTGGAAATTACATGAAAAGGGTGAGAGAGTAAGGTACTAAGTATTTGGGATAATAAACCAAAGTCTGTTTTCTGTAATTGAAATTTCCTGCTGCTTTTCCCAAACTGGAAAGGGGGTACTTGGGAAAATAAATAAAAATGGCTTATCAACTGAAAACTCATGTAAATCAGAAATTATAGAAAAGAGGGATGACAAAGGCAAGATTACCAGGATGGACATACTAAACCAAGAAGAGAATTTCCATAGCACAGATTTGCTTAGGTGTTCTTAGAAGTTAAATATGGCAGTGACATCCTTTTTCCTGATCCATGTTAACACCAAACACCAAAGACTTCCTATCCATGAATATCATGCACTTTTCCAGAGTTTAAAAAGGGGCACAGTACATGGTGGAATCTGGATAAGACTTTCAAGGTATAATCGACCTGCTGTATTTGTGGAATTTTACAGGAATCTCAACATTGTTCATATCATGAATAACTCTTCCATATTTTCCTATTACTTCTTCTGCTGCCATTGTTTCATTACTTAAATCAAGTGCACTGTGGAAAAAAATGTAACTCCACACAGGGTACTTTCATAGGCAGCATCAGGAGTCCTCTGTCTGTAACCACCCTAACATTTTTGGGCAGCCCAAATCTGAAATTTCTTTATTCTTGTCATTTGCTTTTCTTCCAGAATAACAGTATTTAGCAGTATGCTAACTTGTTTGTTTGTTTGTTTGTTTTCCAGGTTCAGTGACAATAAAACCAAAATATTTATCTCCAGTTCTTTAGAACTAAACATGACTGATGAAAATTATGGAATTTTTGCCTGCTTCATTAGAAATAGTACAGCTCTTTTTACACTGAAAAAACCAGGTAGTATGCCTGTGAAAATAATCATAAAAGATTCTATTGATTATCATTGCAGCTACATGTGCAAAGCATTAATTGTTTAATAGCAGTGAGTTCACAAATTCATCGTAATAACATATATCTATTCAAGAGCAATTTTTCTGCTTCTGTTGAACTAATGAATTAAAATATTTATTTGCTGTATAGTCATAAATAAAAACTTTCATATAGCCTTTTTCATTATTAATGCAGCTTTAAACCATGGGATGTAGGAGTTTGTGTTGGCCTTCCATCATCTGGGTGCTTTTGTGAGCTCAAAATAGAATGAAGGAATATTACACACCATCAGTATCCTGCTTTAAAACATGAAGAAGGAAATAAAAAATATTTGTGCTTAAATTAAAAGAGGGTGGATAAAGCAATGGACTTTTGAGAATGAGAAGCAGCACTAGCTTAGGAGTTCATTGTATAAGAGCAGTATTGTAAGAAGCATTTCTCTGTGAATCTAAGGAAAGAAATTGCCACATGATGGCACCAAGTAACAACAAAATTTTCATGGTTGTAGACTAGGCTGGAACGTTGAAAAACATTCTGGAAGAAGGTAATGTTGTGACATACCACTTCCATCCTGTAAAATAATTTCAGGGAAATGTGTTGTGAGACATTGAATATATTCGCCTGAAAATACTCATGGCTCAATTAGCAAAAAGTCAGCACCAATTCTTATTTATTATCATGCCAATAAATAGCAACTGCGAAAACCTGTACTCTTTTCATTTCCATATTATTAAATATGTCCCTGCTTGGATCTTTCTACCAAGTCTTCAGGAGTTGAGCTTCAACTTGGCTTGGCTTCTTCAAGGAACATATCCATTTATACTAGCCAGAGTTAAGCTTCAGCCCAAAAGATTTTTTTCTTCTTCTCAACAAAAAAGTAAATGTTGAGTAGCATCATGCTTTTAAGTTTTGGGGAGGGCAAAACTCAGGTTGATATTTTAAGCATGGATGGTTCCTCTGGACATTCTACTGTGTTATTTTACAGGAACATTCTGCAGCCTTTTTGGGGGGGAGCGCTCTTCTGCAGCTTTCAGATGCCAAAAAAGACTTAAAAGTCACTTTCTGTGAACAAATGTTAACGAGATGAGCTCGACTCTGACGTATGTCAGAAATTGACTTCACATCCATCCTTCATCCCAAGACCTTTCTTTATTATTTTGTGAATAGAGAATTGTAACTTTCCATTTTTCAAATTCTGCTCACCTCTGTAGCTGTGTTGCTGTTATTCTTGTTCAGACAGCAATGAGTCATTCCCCCCCCCAATAGAATCAGCTTTCACTTTTAACTCTACCATACAGTGTACTGTTTTGCCACAAATTGTAATTAATGTTGTTTGTTTCCTTTTCAGAAGAGACTGTTGGGCACTTGGGCGCAGTGCTAGCCACGTTTTTTGCTGCAGCGCTCCTACTATTGGTCGCTATAATGTATGTGAAGTGCCGATTGAATGCACTGCTCTGGTACCGGAATCATTATGGAGAAGTAGAAATCAATGGTATATATGTGCCCCTTTTCCTCTTGATTCAGAATATTTAACATTTGGAGAAGTCATTGAAATAAGAGAGGAGCGATTTTTAAAAATTATATGGGATCTTAAAATTCTAGCCAAGCCTATATTTTATATCTTTCTTTTAACTGGGAATAATCAGATGCCACAACAGGTGCCAGCCTGCTGTCTCTTGACACACAGGGATTTGTGGACTAGATGAGGGAAGCCAGCATAGGTATAATTTATTGCATTTTATTTCCTGTATCTTTTTTTCAGATTAACTTTGCCTAACATTCCATCTATCTATGTGACATTACCCCCAAGGTTATTCCAAAGTCAAAGGTCAAAGTTAACTCCTCTCCATCCCATTTTGAAATTTCACAACAAAAAAGCTGTGGGTACCATGGGAATTAGATGAGATTGTTGGTTTTTTTAAAAAAAATAATACGTTGGTATAACACACTGTATTTCTCTATGCTTTTTTCTACAGATGGAAAAATTTATGATGCCTATGTATCTTACGCTGATTCAGTGGATGATAGAAAATTTGTGAATTTCATAGTGAAGCCACAGCTAGAGAATCGCTATGGTTACAAGCTCTTTTTAGATGAGAAGGACATTCTGCCCAACTCAGGTAAGAACGTGGCACAAGAAGAGGGCAGTGTTTTGTAGGTTGGCTCTACAGCTTAGCTTCTTGAATTGGTGGAGGACGGCAGGAGAACATCCAAAGATACTACCAAAAGGGAATTAACTGAGGGTTTTTTCTCTCTCAATTGGAACAGGAAGGTAGGAACAGGAAGATTCCCAGAAGCAAACAATTTCTAGTCTTTCCTTCAAATGGAATGTGGGTTAAATAATTTGTACCAATTTGAACATTTTGCTGTTAAATTTCAGCAACAGGTTCTTAGAGGTACTTCATGAAGGCTTACGTTTATCCACTTTGGTCCAGGGGTGGGTTCCGACAGGCACTACTGCCTATTTGCTCATGTGCGCAGTGCAATTACAATTGTTCTACGCATGCACAGAACTGAAAAACAAGATGGTGCCACCAATGGCACCGCCTGGGGAACTGGTTCAGGGGCATGGCAGGACGAGGTTGCTGCCGGTTCCAGTGACCCAGGCCACCAAACCACTACTGGTTTGGCCGAACTGGTCCAAACTGGTGGGAGCCCACCACTGCTTTAGTCCTGTGGAATGATTTGAGTGAATCAAGAGAAATATGCCATTAATGTGCTTGTTTGTCGACCTCATGTTCATAAGAGAGAAGCTTTTTTCAATGCTGACATACTGAAGTGAATATGTTTTATATTTGAATAATCCATAACCACTAGATCAAATTGACCACCTTACAGCAAACTCCTGGCAATAAAACAATAACAACAGAGCAACATCAGATTTTAACATCCAGGGTAGTGTGTAATGGATATTATTGCTAGTGTATTCATAGCTGTGCCATAACCATGGAGTAGGGGGAAAAAAGACTTTCCTTCCAAAGGAAGAACTGCATTTCCATTTATCATGATGGCTTCAGGAAGATTCTGAAATTCATCATCTCCTTGAGAAGAAATGTCCCTCATCTCAAACAAGAAGCCCTCTCTGTAGTGCCACCATTGTCAGAATTCAGCTTCATTTTATTTGCCTGTTCTTGAAAAAAAAAAATCACCCTATTCAAACATCGGTCAAAAATTATCTTATTCAAAAACAATAGAGAGATATACAGCATGCTGTTATCAATGTACTGAAGAGGGCTCTGCTAGTGTTTTCATCTAAATGTTAGACATCACTGGGAAAGGAATAAATTCCTGTAGACCTTTACAGCTTAATTGTCACCAGACGAAGATATAGTCACTCAGGGCTATTTCTCTCCAGAATAGCCCTGAAGTAGGAAAGGAGAGGGTCTAAAAATGTGCCCTGAATACCTTATTTGACAGAGATGCTCCTTAAGGATAATTTGATTAAAAGAATCAGGGGCTATTTAAAAAACTAAGCAGGATCAACAAGTTTATATTTCCCCTGATTCTCTGATAGAGATCTGATACGATAGGTATTTTCCATCCCAACAGTTTTAAGTACCAAATTATGGGACTTAATTTGGATTTGGATGATGATGATGATAGGCTCCTGAATAAGGTAAAGATGAATGATTTTTTAAAAAATCCTCAAGGGATTGGCTTTTCTCAGAAAAATAAATAAATAAATAATCTTCTTTTCCAGAACCTTCTGCGGATCTGATTATGAATGTCAGCCGATGTCGACGTCTCATTGTGGTTCTTTCTTATGCATATTTAGAACAAGAATGGTGCAACAATTTCAGGTAAACAGACACTCATTTCTTTAACATTTGTGTGTGTGTACTTACCTCCCTTCTCTCATTATGTCTGGTTTTTTTGTTTGTTTTTGAATGCTGTACTGCCTTGTAAATTGCATTTTGCTATGATGCATAAGCTAATAAACTGTTCCTTGTATGAATCCTCCAAACCAAGTTTTCAAACTAATTATTTATTCTGGTTTCCAATCTCTGTTTCATGAGTTTTTACAGGTCACTGTTTGATTTGAATGTAAAGGTAAACTCTGACTTAAAAAATTAATTCAATAAATATTCTACTTAACTGATTATGTGCATGTGGCTCATTCTCAGTCTTCCAAGCTATACTAGAAGACACAGAGAATGTAATTTTTGTATGCAATCACTTTTTTTAAAAACAGGCTCCTACGTCATCTTATTTAGAGAAACTAAAATCTCTCCTACATCTTTGAAAATGATACGTGGGAGACTAATATTTGTACTTTGCAGGTTAGCTTCTAATATTTGAGCAACTGATATGCTTCCAAGATTAATGAAGCTGGGGTATGGTATATCTTAAATGAATGAAAGAAATGCAAGTGTTTTTTTTCTTCAGAGTGTAGAACTACAAATAATTATAAAAACCAAGTTTTGTTGGTAATTCTGTAAAGCCATTGCCTATTTTTTTTTTTTAGGGAAGGTCTTTGGAGACTGCTGGAACTCTCCCGGAAGCCAATCTTCATTGTCTTTGAGAGCCAATATCGGGACATAGCACATCCAGCCATTAATTTGCTAAAGCAGCACAAGAGCAATGTGACCTTGTTGATGTGGCATGCTGGTTCCATGGTAAGCTGGGAGCAAAAAGACTGCAACCTTATCCTTTGGGTTCTTTTTTGAATAGCAAGACAATATTTAAGATGCAGGGGTGGGCTGCTACAGGTTCGCCCCGGTTCGGTTGAACCCGTAGCTAACGTTATGGCTGGTTCAAAGAACATCCAAATCCCACCCCTGGCTGGCCCTACCCACCCCTTCCCTCTCCTAAAATAGATTATTGGGTCTGACAGGTTACATCTCTCCCAAGTCACATGTATCTCTGTTTCTCTCTGTCTCTCTCTCTGTGTCTCTATAATGAATTAGTCTTAAGTGCTGCTACAGAAAATTGTAAGAAAAAAATATTACAATGTCTTGTCTTTAAAAATCCATAATGAGGCACAAAAACCAGGAAAAATAAAAATTAATAATACATACTGT